GACCGTTTTTGAAATGGGTGACAACAGAACGAACGACTTTGTAGTCGTCTTTCTCCTTTAGTTTTCTTTTATTTTTAAAATCCCTTGTGCATCAGTGCCACCAAACTATCGAAGCAAGAAAAGCCAAGAGACTGCAGGAACAAGGCAAATAACTTGAGTTCCACTTCAGCAAGGCTCTCCCCTCTCTTTGTCCCCGACACTTCCCCGTGCCTTACCATGGTGATTCCAGGATACATTGAAAAAAAGGAATGAATAACTAGAGCAAGCTCTCTGGAAAGGCAATTCTCCCCAGGGAAGGACTGCAAAAGACTCTTCCAAGTGCAGACATCCCAGCTAGCTACCTGGAGACAACTGCACAAACTTCATGGTACAAGACTCAAGGTATGACAGAAAGCTGATCACATCTCACTCACGTGCCAGCTGCCAAGCAAATAATGACAACAGCAGGTCTGCAAGTACAGAAACCCTTGTAAGTCTGAAAAGAATTGATGACAGGCAGCTGTTCCCATGGACCATGAATTGGAGAAGGGAAGGTATTGTCATCTCGGAGAAAGGGTAGGTCTCTGGTGTCTGGATTTGCGTATGTTGGTATGTGGAAGTGCAGGTGAATGAAAATGGAGTGCCACTAGGAAAACAAATTACATGGAAAAATAAACCAGTCAGTATGTCACAAGGCTTTGACCCCATCCCCTGAGGACAAGGAATAACTGACGACAGGTCAGCCTTCAGCGCTCCCAGTGGGACAGAGGAGTTCATAAAAATTGAGCAAAGGAATCTGGGAAAGGTATGGTTGACAGAAGAGTCTTTGCATTCAGTTTAGACTAATTATGTCCATCTAGTTAATAGCTCTGCAGTTCAGCAGTGTAATTTAATGCTGGTTTCCATTTTAAAAGGAAAGTTTCTGAATATAAACAAGAGGTTAGGTGTATCAATTTCTCTAAATCCAGTCTGCTTGGGCTCCTTGTTATTGTCAGTTTGAAATGGTTGCCACTGATGCGTTTCTGTTTTTTCTGTAAATTGCATTCTTTTGCCCTAGAAATGTTTCCACATGGATTTTTATTTTTTGTTTTCCTTTCCTGAATAAGTAGCAGATGCCTTCCAAACTCGTAGTGAAGAAGAGCCAGTGTGCTTACTCACTCTTGTCAACTCTCAACAACATCACTTCTATTAGCAGTTGTTGACTAAGGCAAAAATCAACACACCGGACATGCAAGATGGGAATCAGTCTTCCAAGAAATGCACTGGCTGCATTTCTCCATGCTTTCTCCTTGCCTTCATGGGACCCCCACCATATTCCACAATATTACGTATGCACGTTTTATCCTATAGCAAAACTTCTGAGCACCTGCCTTTGCAACACAGTGCTAGAAATAGGTGAGATCACTCAGCACTTCAGTCAAACCTCTGGCTCTCTTAATTTACTGTCAGGATCAGTTCTCACAAAAGGACTCTCTCTCTGGAAATTACGAAGTCATAAGAGGTAAACCGTCTTTGTAGCTGCAGTTCTATGAATATCTAAGGGTTCTCATAATCATGTAATTTTTTACCAGATAAAGAAATGCTTTGCCAAGTACTTACTTCAGTGCTGTTGGAAATACTAATTCTAGCTTTTCTAGCAAAAAAGAAAAAAGGAAAAAGAAAAAAAATGCTCAAGGAGGAAAAGGAACAGACGAAAAAGATTCAGTGGAGATTTGACCTGGGACCTTTTTGGTAAGGACATTTGTGAATGAACCTTTACCATGAGACTCAGAGTCAGTCTAACTTACCCACCGCTAGGTCAGTATGTCATCTATTAGACGAGATAAATACATCAATCACGATGGATCTGAAGACTCAATCTACAGCCAAGGCTGGCTGTTGTGCAAAAAGGCTGATTAATTCACCCACAACACTGTTTTGTCTGCAGGCAGCACAGAGCAGTCCCCAATTAGGAGCAAAACCAACAGGTTTGCTACTCGCTATGTCAGATTGTATCAGCTACAGGCCATGGTTAGTTCAACAAGACGACTTTGTGATTGTCAGGTGGGAGTGGGAAGCTTTTAACACCCTGACACAAGTTTGGTTGGACTCCCTCTTGTGATGGATGGGATCTAGTTAAATAGCTGTTTGATTTGGTTTCATGATGAAAGGTGTAAAAACTGGGAATAGTGTAATACAGGATCAATAGCTATTTCTCTTAACAGATCCTCAGTATTTCAAAAAAGTCTGGAAAGGAAATTGATTTTCAACAATACGGCATTGAGATTTATTTTTTTTTTTAAGTGTCAGTTAACCAATAAATCTAAACCTACTGCTGGGGAAAAAAATAAAAGCAGTGTATACTCCATGACTAAAGCTAACTTCTTGCAGATGTATATAGAAGTTTTCATTCTCCCCAAACTAAGGGGAAAAAAACCCTACAGTATTAAAGAAGCAAAATAAAACCTAGATCAGGCTAGAAAAATCAAAATTTTAAAATACCCCCTATGTAATCATCCAGTTTATGAATAAAAAACAAACTCCAAATTTTTTGTTGTACATATTGTTACTGCATGCTTACCATATGTTAGATGGAAGCATTTCCTATCCATTGTGGATAAAAGAACATTTTTCAAGTTGTAGTAAATTATTATAAAGCCAATGACATTTCATGGCATGTTATCGTATCAAGCTGTGCTTGTTGTATTTTTTTCTTTATGGTTGTAATGCTTTTTTATAAATGTACAAATATTTCCTGTAGTGACGAACACCTATTTTACATAGCATTAATTGAAGCCCTAGAGCTCCAGACTGTACACTCCCTTGATCCATTGGCAAAGAGTTTTGCACATCGATCCAGGGTGGGATATGGCCAGAGTGCAGTGGGTAGAGAAACGGAACGGGTGTGGGGTAGCTGGATGCTGAAGCAGAGCAACCATGCTGCTGCCAGTGAATTGGTTTTGGTGGAACCTTGCTAACGATCTCAGAAAAATTAGAGCACGTTTGGTGGCAGACTTTGTACCTGATCTTTTATTTAGGATCAACCAATATGTGGCTGCTAAAATGGCTTCCCAAAAGTACCGCATGTGCTTTTAAAAATCATACTCCTTTTATGCCAGTCCCTAAAGATTAACTTAGGAACTTAATGTAAGGCAATAAGAGTGAAAATTTGGTCCTGAATTTCAATCAGCTTCCACTGACAGTTAATGCTATGTAAATGAGGTTGAATTAGCTGGTGTACCATATACTGATATATGGTACCCTATGTATTCTCTGTCTATAAAACTTTCCTAGAAACACATTACACAGGCTATCAATCCACACTAGCCAATTTTTAAGTAAACATTCATTATAGATCAAAAGGAGTTGAGTGGCACTACATCTGCTCTGCAATTTCAAAAGACTTCAGCAGGTCTCACTGTTTACCAGTTGCACATGCTCCTATATAGGCTGGTCTAAACAGCAATAAACAGATGTCTGATGGCATTAAATAAACAGTTGTTTCATTTGCTCTAAATAGGTCACTTTGATTACTCCCATTGTTTTTCATTCATGCAAAACTTTGTCAGTGTGTCTTACAGCCTCAAAGGACTAAGCAGCTGCATTTGACAAGGATTCAGATTTTTTTCTTTTTAATTGCTAAAATGTTACAAATTGTTGCTGGCTGTATTTTGAAGCATTCACCCACATGAACTTTGTGGTCATCCAAATTCTCTCTCTACTCCTTGGTGTGTGAAGGCATCTTCTGTCACTGTTTATTTTGTGGAAGGGGGGGAATGTCTGGCTTCTGAGAGCTCTGGCAAGATTTGAGGGTAACCAGTTGGTAACATTGCCTTATATGTGGTGCTGATGCAGCAAAGGAAAAGAAACAAGCCTTCTGTTTTGATGTTGAATTACATTTTGTCAATTCAGCCAGCGCTGTGCAATGATGTTTTACTCCCTCTGTTTGTTGCATGTGTCATTTGTTAAATTCAGTCATTACTCTTGCTGACCTTGATGTTATTATTAAAGAACTACACAAATTTGTGTTGGGCTCCATAAGATTCATTGACTAGGCAAAGTGAACAAAGCAGGAGGCAGGGGAATCCTGGGCAGCAAGTTTTCTCATAAAATCGGCTTTCCGTCATCCTGGAGAACTCAAACTTGGTGATTTTCTTCCCAGCAGCCCAGAGCACTTCTGCCTGGCACAAAAGCTATTTTCATTCAGACGTGACACAGCCTAAAGTGTCTGCTCCTCTGCTGATACCCAGAGCCTCACCTTCCAAATGCAGAGTAACTTCTCATTTCACACAGCTAACTCGGCAACTTTTAACAAAGGCATCCTTTAACAAAGCATAACAACTATGAGAAATAACTAAGCATGTTCCCTCTCATATTTGCTGATAGCCCTTCTTTCTTCCTCTCTGCTTACCTGTCACTAACTCATCTGGATTCTGATATGATTGGAATATTTTTTTCCACAAAGAAGATTAACAGGGCATGAAGAAGTTCAGCCTCAGCACCCTGCCCTCTTTCAGCAAAGCATGCAAGCCCAAGCTTTTTAGCGTCCTCTGAAAATGTGAACAAGCAGTTTCCTCAGCACACCAAACCTTGCAAGTCTAGGCTCAGTCTGGATTTTTCTTGCTGTGTTTTATTTAAACCAAACTTGTATGTAGTAAATGCAAAGAGGGAAGCCACAGTAGTCAGCAGGTCCTGCTCTCTCGCTCTGGAAAAAAGGTGCTTTTTAAATGGAGACTATCAAAGAAAATCAGTTGCTCTTCCTAGAAGAGGACAGGTGAAAAAAAAAAAGCAAGGGAAGTTAAACCTCAGCATACCCCAAACTCAGAAGAGATGATGCAAACCTACCAAGCCTTGATGGTAGCTCTGGGTCTTTCAGGGCATGCATTTACACAGAAGTGGCTGTGCAGCTAGACTTTGCATAAAGTCCCATCACTACGTTGAGGGGAAAAAATGAGGAAAAACACTCTAGCAAGACCCAGGCAGGCTTGTTTGCCCTTTCAGTCAGCTGCCAGCCCCGCTGCCTCAGGAAACTGTCCACTCCCTGATCCTGTTCCCTGCTCAGGGAACCGCATTGTGCTACCGTCATGGCAGACTTCATCACCATTCATGCAACAGGACAAAATTTCCCCAGACAGAACATTTTTTGGAGCAAAGTTGCTCCAGAGCAAGGATATGCAGACACGAGGCTGCTAAGCAGCCCTGAGCATGTGGCCACCCCTCCATCTTGGGCTTGGTCCTAATTAGCTACCTGTCTCCCTCAACAAGCCCCACCTGGGAGCGGGTCTGAGTTCCAG